AACAACCCCTTGTCCTCTTAAATCACGTGGGATTTGGGTTGGGATGCCCCACTCTGGCATCTTGCTTGATACTAGGACATTTCCAGTTCTCAGCACAGAGGCAGGGTTCTCCTGGAACAGTGACACCTGAGTCCTGAGGAGCACTTCAGGTGCTGTGCTAATGCCCAGAGTGAATATCATTTATTCTGTGCACCAACAGTACTCAGCAAGGGAAAACGCCATATACCAGTAGACTGTTTCTCAAATACAGTAGTGGTGTTTCTGTCACTGCTCTGATGTAATGAATACATTCAAATTTATTAGGATGTCAGTGGAACAGAGTGACTCTTACAATCAGATTTCTTTCATATGAATTAAATAGACAGTTTTGGACATTTATTAAATAATGGTTGAAAGCAATAATACAAACTCTCCCAATAACGGTCTTTCCTAAAAGGCTGTGAATGATCTTAACTAACAAGAGTAGTGAAAAACATAGAAAAACATGTATGTCTGTAAACTTAAATAAAACACTTTAGGACCAAGAGGTGCAAAATTCACCTGTATTGTAACATACTGGTACCAACAGTTCTGGAATAGCATATTTGGCATAAGATATAGTATCTATTCATTGCTGTCTGACTACAAGACATGAACTCATAGGTAGCTGAGAAAAAACAAGGTGATGCATTGCTTTTATTAGAGCAAGATCTGGGACAATGTTCTTAGTTTGAATTAATATCTGCTTGAGGTTTCTTCTGTTTATAATAGCTTAATTTTGCTACTCATGTTCTGTCAAACCAGGAACCCTTCCACTAATATTTAATAACTGTGCAATGTGGCAAGTCATTTTTCAGAAAATGGAAATGAAGTCAGGGAGGTTACATCAGCAGTGAATTTGTCTCAAGGCAGCAGTGGAGAAATATTATTTCCGGAAGTGGAAACTTATCTGTGATGATTTTATTCTTCTTAATGTACTGGAAGAACAGTTTGCTCTACAGCTTTGCTCTGAAGGCAAAATCTGTCTTAGAACAACCATCTATCAGCTTGACCCTATTAAGGAAAAATTTCCTGAATTAAGTAATGCAGATGGGCACGTATGTTAATGCAGTCTTATCATGCAAAGAAAAAGGTGTTAAACTTGCATCGTTCAATCGTTACATGAGCAAACATTATCATCTTTGGGTCAAAGATTTATTGTATAGTGCAAGCCTGACTGATTCTGCCCTCAGCATAAAACAGTGATGGAAGTCTTACTTAGAAAAATAGCTTCCAAATTTTTGGTGTCAGGAAAATCTTAATCCTAACACTTACACAACAACCCTTTTCCCATGACATTAGCCTCAAATTGTGTGTGTTTAATGTCTCTCTCCCTTCCTTTATGAGTTAAAATGAGCAGATAAATACGACTCTTTCTCCTTGTCAAGCTGATGGTTGTGCTTAATCTTATTATGTAAATCCTCTTTAAAAGTATCAAATCAGTTTGGGTCTTACAATGTGTAATGTTGCTCAAGTGAAAATCAATTTATTTGTAGATCAAAGCAGTTCCGTATGAACCCGGTATGAACCCTGATGAAAATTAGCAGTGAGGTTTATTTTTGGCATCGTTCTCACATTCATTATCCCTTCTTCCTGCGACCCTCATAAGTTCCCACCTCTTCAGCTCAGTGAGGCCTCTGCAGCCTATGTGCAGTGTGTGTCCCCAGCCTTCCTATGGGTAGTGCTAGATAAAACTTTGCTGACCCTGCAAGACTAATTTTTAGTATACATTAAAGTCTCTCTGACTCTCATCTCCTTCATGCCTTCAGCAGTTTCCACTGACAGCTCAAAAATTTTCCCTCTGTAAATATAATCTAATAGTATCTTGATTAACTAGAACCATAGGTTTATAAAACACCATATCTTCAATGCAATCAAGTTACTGTGCAATGTACTCAGTAGGATATTGTAAAGGCCTTAACTTTGAACTCAAGTTACTTCATGTTAAAGCAAATGTACTGCCTTTTCCATATGGGGTCATATATTTTGAATTAAATTAAATTAATCTGCACAATTTTATGGCTAGAATGTCTTTGTTAATCCCAAGCACGTTGTAGAATGGCTAACACCATATTCAAAATACTAAAATAACAGAAAATACAGAAATAGTTGTCCTTGTGCCTTTACTTTAGACTAGGCTTTAGCCCTATGTAAGGAGGGGCCTGGCTGGTCCCCTTGATCCTGCTGTTAGTGGATTCCCCAAGGCAGGAACAAGCTTAAGCTTGCGCAGACACCACAACATCCCAGCGAGATTTGAATCTACAAAACGTGCCCTGTGAGTCCCCAGGCACTTTCTACCCAAAGGCGAAGTTTGATGCCATGTACAGAAAGGAATTGTGAAAACTTGGAAGGTGCTTTAGATTAAATATGCAGCTAATGAAGAGTTGAATGGTGTTACTGAGCTGGAATGACTGCAGCTACTCAAAACACAGGGATACTGGACTGTCCTAGGGTTACATATATACTGGACTGTCCTAGGGTTACAGCTTATTTGTCCAAAGCCGAGTTTACAGATTGAGTTGGGGTGTCTGATACTGATTTAATCTCCTCGTGCTTCAGTTGAGCAGGTGAGAAACATGAGAAGTGCTGAGCATGAGCGTGTCCAGCATGTCTGTACCACGTTTGATTGCATTTGTTCTAGTTTCCTCCTGAGCTTTTCATGACAGCCCCCAAAAGTTTGCTTCTTGTTAGAAGCTTGTGTGTCTTGGGAGTGAGTATTTCTACCTGGAATACTCCGGTGGTTCAACGCAAGAAGGCTGCTCAGGGCAGCTGCATGTTCCTTTATATAAGCACATGGCTCCATCAGAAGACTGAAATAGGGAGTTGCTCTGTTGTAGTTTATATTTAAAGTGAGATACCAGAGGAGAAAGGTATATCGATCTCCTGTGGACATGTGGAAAGAGAAAAGCAGGAAGTCTTCTTGTGCTGACTTACTTATTTGTCTTTATTCAGGTCCAGAATCATGTTTTACTTTTTTGTGGCAGGGGGATGGATAAAAAAGCTTGATTTAGTATATGCTGCATATTGAAATAATCACAGTAAGTGATAAGCCAACTAATAATGTGTTTATGTTGCATATAAAAAACACATGCAAATGTAATAGCATTTCAGGCTATTCTTGAAAGGTGTCTCCTATGTTTATAGGGAAAAGAAAAACAGGTTGTTCAAACAAATCATTTCTGAAAAATGGAAGAAATGTGTTATGCTGTACTGCATCTGGTATTAACATGGTGGCGCAGGAAAAGACTAAGGGAGACAACTGATTAAATAAATACTAAATGCAAAGAAATAACAACATTTGAACCCCAAAATTGTATCTAAGCTGCAGCACAACAATAAGATTCAAATCCTGTTGCACATATTTTGGTAGTAATTTTTTTATTTTTTAGAATCAGGAATGTTTTTGCGTGATATAAAAAGTGAGTAATTCCTAAGATCTCACATTATCATATTATCATGGGGTTGTCTCTGGCTTGTCTCTGTCATATGAATATCCTATTCCAAATGTCTGACTGTAGAAATACAGCAAGCAACCACAGCAAGCAACCTGAGGAAAAAAAAATAATACTTGATAGTTAAAATATATGATTTTTCTCTTCATTGTCCTTTCAAATATAGACATTCAACTAAATATATAACATGAGAAATAAAACTTTTAATAAGTATGCATATACTTATCTGAACTTTTACATAATATCAAAAAAGTCTCTGATTATATTGTAGTATATGTATTATTCATACTTGTTTATATTTCATTCATGAAATAGGATATAGACTAGGTTGCTAATTATTTTTTCCAACTTTCCTGGCTTTCCCTTCCCGAATGATACACTCTCATGGTGATTGCTCTGTGCAAATCCCTAGTACAGCTGCGCTGATGGTGAATCAGGTTGTTTCACTGACCACAGCAACAGCCTTATCAGACCCTTCCGCTCTCTGTCCTTTTCTTCAGTGAGAAAAAAGATAGACCTGCCATTTTACAACAGTGGGGACCCTCCATAAGTGGTATAAGGCTCCTCGTATACCAGAACTGGAAAGTTAAAAACTGCTGCATGAGTTAGCCCTGCTCTGCATTTATATATATGTATAAGTGTATACATACATATACACATATAAAAATTCTCAAAACTGCTCATCCTTCACTTTCACAAGTATTACATTACTTTCAGGTTCAACCTTTCAAAAACAGTTTTTTGTTCTCTTAAACATAAAAAGCTATAATAATCACAGTATGTATTTTTCACATCTTCAGTTTGACATGACCATCTTGAAATGCATTTTAGAAGATTCTGAGTTCTGGCAGTTAGTGTTACATGAAGTAACTCCCACTAAATATCAGAAGAATCAGTACCATGCGTACAGCTAAGTCTAAGCGTGGAAAAGGGCAGCGACAGATACGAGCATTGAATATTCAATGAAGTCAGAGAAGTTCTAGGAAACTCATTTAGTTCCTGCACATAATGAAGAAATAATCATTTTATCATTTTATGTGAAACTGGTCCTTCAGAGAAGACTTCTCGACCAAGAAAAACAATTTTGGTGGCTTTACATTCACTGTAATGTCTTTAACAACTGATGTGCATTTTATTTATAATAACTGGAGCTACGCTTTCTGAGGTGAGGACAATGCCAAGGTCTTACGTTGTGATTCTAAGTTGTGATCGTTCAGGTTATCTTTACACATATGACTGGCCTTTAATATCACTGTTTCATTTTCATAAAGACATGATGCAGCCCATACCTGAATTCTCCAGCAGATGCAATGTGGAAATACTGACCTAGTCCCTAAGGTGTGAAATGCTTGAACATGTGATTGTATAAATGTGGCTTGCTACGAAATAATACCAGTAACTGATTAGATTAAATGACATGATGAAGATAGATGCTAGTAGCGTGTGCGTGTTTTCCCTCTACTTCTCCATCACCCTTTTTTTAGTGTCTCTTCTGAATTGTCCCTTCATTATTTTTTTTTTTCCACAAAGGTAAATATGCCATGAGGGATCTGGTCCACCGACTGCCGGGCACTAACAACAGCAACAGCTCAGCAAGCAAGGCCATGTCTGATGACACCGTTACTGCCATTTGCTGCACCCTGCATGAAGTCATCACTAAAAACATGGAGAATGCCAAGGCCTTACGGGACGCGGGCGGCATCGAGAAGCTCGTTGGCATATCTAAGAGTAAAGGAGACAAGTATGTTTCACTAATCACCGTGCACCTTTTCTAACCTCTCCGGTAGATGCGATTAGTGCTGAATGTGTTTGCCTCTTCCCTGCACTAGTGAGTTGAGTGCTTGAGTTCCTTCAAAGACCCAGTGCCCAGGGTGAAAGGTGGCACGAAAGGGACAGTGTTAATAATAAAAGTCTCTGCCGTGGTTCATTTCTGACCTACTTTCAGCAGGTGTGTGCAGTTTGAGGAAGAGTTATTACTACAGTAATTGCTACCTCTAAGCACTTGCAGAAGATCCTTATAAGCATTAGGTGTGAGACATTATGTGTTAGAGCTGACAGATGCACTCTGCAGAAAGAGTGAATGAATCCTGTGAAAGGAAGGGATCTCACATAGGTTGCGTTATTGCTGCACTTATTTGGAGCCTCAAGGACATAAAATCACTGTCTCTCTCTTCCCAGCCACCCTCTTCCCAGCCACTGGCATTCATGTGAGGTGGGATGTATTAGATCCATTTTCCTAATGCCTTGATTTTGAGAGAGCACTACAGGCTACTTAATGAGCCTCCAAAATGTGCAGAACTCTTACACACAACTGGGACATTTTCAAAGACACTATGGTTTCATCTTGTCCATTTTCCTGTGTATGCAATCTGCACAAAACGTTCAGACGTTGTCCTGCCTAAAAGAGATGTTTCTCACATTTGTCAACCAGCAGAAGCATAGTGCAATTTTGCTTGAAAATAAAAAGCCTGCATTCACTGTAGTGTTCAGGAGCTCTCCCAGCCCACCTCCTTGATGCTGCAAGCCACAGCATCAGAGCTCTGCAAGAGCCCCACAAAGCCAGGCCATCACGAGAAGGGAAGATTTATGCACCCTACAATTGGGATGAAAATTTACACTGGCCTATGTGACTGGAGCACTGGTAACGTAATTTATTCACATTTCTTTTCCTCTACAGTCATTCTCCTGTAAGAGTTAAAAAGTAACAATGTAAGAAAGCATGTGATTCCAGTTGTATGAGTTCCAGTGCTCTGCTAATTTACTTAATTTGCACTTTTTTATTATAATAAAATCTAATTTTTTATTGTTTTGCTAGCTCAAAGGTACAGATACTGCAAGCAGCTTTGTATTCATTTCTCTTTAGTTGATCAGAATAATGCATTTATCTACTTGTACAGTATCTGGCAAAGATTCTTAATAACTCTTGAGTCTGGTATTTTGGACAGTTTCAGGAGGATCAAGGCATCTAATGGCATGAGCATGACTGAGTGGTAGTATTTGGCCAAAATTCCCAAATTCCCTCCAAAATCATCATACTTATCCCAATTCTAAACTACTTTGAGTTATAGTCGTGCTTTATTTCTATTACAGATGGCACAGTCCTAAAACAAGAAAATCTGTCAACTCTCAGTGATACAAATCTTAGGGTTTTATTTTCACTTTTCAGAATTTGGTACCATTGTCTTGGTTTGATTTCATGTAGGGAATCTATTATTTAAAATTCAAAATTGCTAGTCAGTGGACTGATGGGAAATCCTATCATAGTTTGATCAAATAGAACCCTTAAATATCAAACTAGCCTGGAGTGATGCATTTATTCCTGGACAGGAGCCTGGCCATGCATCCTCATAGGAGCCTAGGACACAGGCTGATCAAGGCCAGGATTGTCGTGGTGGCCCAGCAGGCCCTTGGAGCAGGCCCAGGGCTTCAGTGATATGATGGCATGATAAAACTGATCGCTGTGCTCATATTGGCCAAACCAAGGGCCTCTCCAGGCTCCTGTTTCTCCTCAGGACTCAGCACGATTGGCACTGGTATCTTCGTGGTTGCTCTGTGCTACCAGCACCCCGCCTGCCAGTACAGCTGGGAGGACAGTGAAATGATTATGCTTGAAAGTGTGCAGCAAATGCCCATTTATTCACCAGTTACCCACCCACTGCTGTATTCTGGGTGAGAAATGGGGAAAAAAATACTGAATAAATTACTAGGGGAATACTGTATGAGTTAATTGAATCAACTCTATTATGAATGCTATTTTACAGCTTTGTTGTCTGTGTATCTGTGGCCCTTCACAGGGGCCACAGAAGGTAATAAGGCCAGACACATACCAAGACTTGCTGCCCAAATCAGTAACATACATTGCTGGGTTGCTGGTTTCTGTTTGGGTTTGCAGTCCTTGCCTTTTTCTGAGTAAAACATGAATCAGCTCAGTGACTGCCCCAGGCTTCATCACGCCTGACTTCAGACTTCTGCCTTTGCAAGGTTTTCTAGGGCTCTGCTGCTTCATATGTTTTACTAGAACAGCATAAGGGCTTGACTGCCCAATGTATACACCCAAAAAAGTGAACTCTTCCCCTGTCCTTTCCATTTTGACCCTTCTTCACTGAGCTGAATACTTTTTTAAGAAAACATATGTATTATCTATCCCAAGAGGAATATGTAGTTCCAGCTGTCTGCAATAATAGCTCAGAGCTTCTTTGAAAGTTTTCTGAAGGGAAAGTCAATGCAAAGTTACATATTCCTCTTAACATGAGTGTTTGCCATTGTTCATGTGTGCAAGATACCAGTCCAAATTTGGGTTCCAGATGAAAGGCATGATGTGTGTGTATCGTCGGCTTCATTTCTGCATCTTGACTCCATGGCAGCTCCAAACACAGGGCTCATCACCCATCTGATTGTGTTTCTTCTGGCCACTGGGAAGAGGCACTTCATGCCTTAAGCACTCTGCCATAACTTAAAGTTTGGTAGACTTAACGTGTGGCTATGAGTTCTTGTCACTTGTGGCCGGGACATCTTCATGGATGTTCTTTATGCCAGTTGAGTCCTCAAAAATTTTCTGTTCCTACCTCTCCTATTCCTCCTGTCCTGTTCTCAGCATGAATCCTTGCTCTCCCTGTATTGAGGGACATACATATTGCCCCTCACTGAAGAATTAATAATATAAAAATGTGCATTATTCATCTTTAAAATCATGTTAGTCTCCAAGATGCTAACCAAAAGATCTTAAAGCACTTTGATAGCACAACTTCAATTGTGGGTTTAAATCAATGCATCTGAAAATTGAGATGAATGGAGTCTTGTGCTTAACAGTCACTTTCTCACTCTTTCTCTCTCTCTCTCTTTTTAATATATGTATATAACAGGCATTCGCCAAAAGTGGTGAAAGCAGCATCTCAGGTCCTCAATAGTATGTGGCAGTACAGAGACCTGAGAAGTCTCTACAAGAAGGTAAGGCTTGATGTTTTTTTTCCAGATTTGTCTTTTTTCATCCCGTTACTGAAATTTAGGGACTGAGGCTTCAGACCAAGTGTTTGTATGAACTGGAAATTCACCTACTTTAAAATTTCAGATACTTTGATCTATAGGATTTTTTCTCCCAATTCTACTTTTAATACAGAAAAAGCTTATAAAATGTGCTCTGTTAAAAGAATTGTGAATTTGACTTTTGAACGAGTTCTTACAAAAAAGTCCTGGACCTGACAGTGTTGGAGAGGGAAGTCCTCAGTTCTCAAAACAAACCTGTGCAAATTATCCTACTTTACCATGCCTATTTCCGCCTCCCCACCCTATCCTAATATCCTCCCTGAGAATATTACCAGATTTCCAGCCTTTCACCTCCCAGATTTCCTCATGGGATTGCCAACAAGGCTACCCAAGGGAATGGTGCTTTCGGACCAGTGTGCAAGTGGAGCTGGCTTTAAGCTTGTTAGCTTCACATTCAGAGAGCTGGATGATATACTCTATATAGTCTACATATAGTCCATAGTCTCTAGAAAGCACTATAGCAGTCCCACAAGGCCCCTGCCCTCTTACATATGAATTGCAGTACCGGTATTATGATCCTGTGAAACAACATCCTGGAGTTGTTGAAAATTAAACATCTACTGACTAAATGACAATATATCAAAATAGTTCTTACAGAATATTCCTACAGAATATTTACTAACACAATTGCAGAGCAATGTAACTATCAGTCTGCAGACTTGGTTCTTGAAGATCTTTTTACTACATGGAATTTTACATGTATCAAACAGATGTTTGTTTGTAACTTCGGCAAATAGACCTGAGACTTCATGTGGCACAGGAGTTCAAGTCCTGACTAAGAATAAGGCCTAAGGATGATGAAATGAGGAAAAGTTCACAAATGACAGTCTGAGCTATATGTATTTAGCACAAGAAAATAACTTAGTTGTGGGAAATGTAGGTGCCAAATAAATCTCAGGCTGGCTCTGGCTAATCTTTGGTTTGAAATGCTGCTCTTTTGTGTGCTTCCACTCTTGCTTGTGTCAGCCTGGCAGATAAGGAAGATTATCGCTGAGTCTCCCCCACTTCTCACACCCAGTAGCTTCAATCACCCCAACAGCCCTAGAGATATATTAGGCACAGACATTCCAAGTAAGGAGATGGGGCCCACGAAGAGCTGGGAGCACCTCTGAGCTGGAGCCTATTTTTCTGAGGCAGTGACATACCTGTGTGACTGTGTCTGACTAATGTGCATGGCTGAACTTCGTTGCACCTAAATCTTTTGGAGGTTTGTGCAATGTCTGACTGCTTTCCAACCTTTTGGCTATCTGTACAGGGAATGGAAAGGCAGTTTCTGGGGTTGCTCCATGGATGATCTAATCTATACTCTGTATGGCTTTGGGGTATATTGCTGCATAAAGAACCTTGTTAGCTGCCAAAGTGTGCCTGGTAATGTTGTTCCATGTTAGGCATCCTTGGCTTCTCAGTACCTGCACACTTGAAAGAATCTGTTCTGGGGCCACAAATGTTGAGGTAGTTACATAATTTAAGATGCTCATGTTTGTTAAAAGACATACAACAATCTTTATGAAGCAATAATATTTATTAAATTTGCAAATGGTAGGTTGATTGTTATGTTGGGTGTCTATTTTTCATTAATGATGGGGAAATGCATGCTTTTATATTAGGAAAGTTGCAGTTTTGCATTTTTGCCAATAAGGCAGCTAATTATGTAATATAAATATACTTTGTCAGTACAGTCTTTATTTTGTCCCATTAAAATACTTAGGTCAGTAGAAATGAATGAGCATACAGCTACTGTATTAAGATCAGCAGTTTTCAGTATCCTGCACTTGCATCACCATCAGCAATTTCTTCATACATCCTGAAATACCCATGCAATTACTTTCAGAGAATCGGTGGCATTCAGAGAGGTGCAATTTTGTACTGTAACACAGGCAAATGACAGTATCACAGTCAAAGCAGTAGCACTTACTTTTACCATTTGAGGAACAGTGTAGCCAAGTAGTTTGAACTGTGGTATGTTTTAGAGGTGCATGTTTACAGTAGAGAAAAGATGACAAGGCTAGACATCATCTTTCCTTTACAGTAGGAAAGATGACAAGGCTAGACATATTATCCTTTCTATTAGTGAAATGAAATAATACATTTACTGCTGGTACAATAGTGATTAGTATATTTAGTCCAAATATATGGCTGCACGAGAAGAACGTGGCTCATGCTCTCTTGTAATTTTGCCATCCCTGCCATTGTCTGCCATCCCTGGCAGAATATGAATTGCGTGACTGAAAGTTCATGCAGAGCTGGGGATCGGTGTGGTGGGTCACTTGATGACTTGCCATGCCTGTGAGAGGCCTAAAAGCCAAGGAGTGCCTGGAGGACTAAAAGCCACGATCTGCTGCACCCTGGGAACCCCAAGATCCTGAAAAGAAAAGGAGAACTGAAGGTTTCTGTGTTACTGTCATCATTTGCTTGCTGGAGCAGGAACACTGTGTGGCACTTCTCCTAGAGAAGTGTTGGTGTCTCTTTTCAAACAGTTTTTGCAGTGTTTGCAGAGCTGTGTCATGCTCAGTACGCTCCCCCAACAGGTTCTGGGATCCCCCACCAATAGCTGGGTGGTGGCTTTAAGTGGCCACACTGGCTTGCCAGACTGAGCAGAAGGGGAAGAGGCGCAGAAGGACAGTTCAAGTCGACGTACTGATCTGTGAGTGAGTGATGGTGTTCGTCACGCACTGTAGGCTTGTGCTTTGGAAAAAGAGAGAATTTTGCTCTCTGGTATGGCTAATTTGGAGCAATGCCCACAAAGTCCAACAAGAAGAAGTGATTAAAAGCATAAATGTTTCCAGTTGCTAAAATTAAAGAAAAAATCATGTCAGAACGATGTAAAATGAATGCAGTCTTGAGCTGAAGTTGTCAGCCATCCATCACTATTCCCTCAAATGTCATGGATCTCTTCTTTTGCTCTACAGCAAAGTTACTACTCTGATCTTCTGTCCCAGTTGGCTGATTCTCAATTTTTATCTTAAGTAATACTATTTCAGGAAGCCAGGGAGTGATAAGAAGCCATGAATTATCAGTGCGGCAGAACTGAGAGGGAGAAATTCAAAAAAGTGAACATTTCACAGTGCTTCTCAAAGCAGTCTCTAAACAAAAGATTCATGCTGCTGTCCTCTAAAGAGGAAAACATGGTTTAGTCTCACATAAACAGTGTTTAAATGGATTAGTGTGATTAATTTATAAACACTACTAGAGCTTTGCAAGGGAGAAAGAAATGATCATCACAATTTTTCATCAGTAAATGAAATATTATCCCCCTCAAAACTGACTTAAATGTCATGTCATTTTCCTACTTCTTTCTGCAAATAAGATTTACATTTTCATAGGCACATAAAACAAAGGATCATTTATGCTCGAGTTGAGTAACACTGGATCCCACTCCAATCTCTGGTGCCCTATCTGGCTGAAAATATGGGGACACCTTAGAAGACGTGGCCATGACCGTAAGAGAGCAGGTTTCTGTTGGCAGGTTTCCATTCTGTTAGACACTGTCTCTCTTGGTATGCATGAATATAACCAAGTGCTCTTCAACACAAACAGCTTGTTAAATTGCAGGAGAAAATTCACATATGCAAATATTATCAACCCCCTGAGCAAAAGGGATGGGCAAAAGGGGGGCCTAAATAAGCTAACCAGAAAGAAAATTTATTAGCTGAAAACAAGCTTCAATTTGCAGGAAGTGCATGTAGTACTAAAAGGCAAAAGAAACCATCAGGAAGAATATGTTACCTATGAATTAGCTTGCCTTGCCTAACCACTTAGGCTACAACAAAATACCTGTTTATGTTCTGGCATTATGTCTGCCTTTATTCTGACAGCCAGGATGTAAGCAGAAATCACAACGAATTTGTAGAAATCTTTCTTTCTTTTTTTTTTTTTTTTTTTTTCTGTTTACTCACATAGGTTTGTGTTCTGCATGGAATAATAGGCATGTTTGTCCTATTCACCTACCATATGAATAAAACCACAAGCAATTACTTGCAAGGGGGGAAGCTATTAAAGGCAGTTGTCTTTCAGTGAGTGAGGTGCCACTTCAATAGGGAGAGTAGCAGGACAGGCTTTTAATGAAGGGGAAGCAGTGACTCCAAGGATGGCCTTGTCTGTCATTGGCAGGAAGAGATACTTAGAATTGCCAGAGGCCTTAAAAACTGTTAAGCCAGGCAGGATCTAGAAGAGGACTCTCTTCTCTTGTGCCTTTCAGAATAATAAACTGATGGCTTGGTGGGAAGGGAAGTCCCTTGTTGCTAAATGTTCCATGAAAATTACCAGCAGTAAACTTGAAAGTTCCAGTTAAGTGGTTCTAAAATCTGAAGTCCTTTCTCAAGTAAAATATACCTTTTCACCTTTTTGAAATATTAATTATATCTTGCTATCCTGAAGACTTGGAACACAGAACATGAATTGCTTCTGGCCAGCCTATTCAGACATCTTTAAAAACAAATACCGTCTTTAGGTCAAATCTATCCAGTGCAAATGTCTGTGTCTAACTTAAGCCCTACATTAAAGATTTAAATTCCAAATGCGGAACATAATAGTTCCACAAAAAAAAAAAAAAAAAAAAAAAAAAAAAAAAAAAAAAAAAAAAAAAAAAAAAAAAAAAAAAAAAGATAATTTGACTTTGATGGAACTATACATGTGCTCAAATTATTCGTGAACATATATATTTTACTGTACTTTCAGTGGGACTGAATTTGCTTCTGTAATTTGGGAAGGCCTTTTGAATGAAAGGGGAGATGACAATGTCACCCTTTTAGAACAAGGATGGATTAATTCAAGGTAGCTTCACCACTGTAATTTAAATCTGGAATGACTTTATAGAAAAGGCATTGTCTAGAGCCCATTTCTATATAATGATAAGAAAATACGAGTGCCTGATTAATGATTGACTGATTGGTTGATTTATGGCA